GAGGGAGGAGCGAGGGGGCGGGAGGAGGGGGAGGGGAGGGCGAGGCTGGGGCACCTCCCCCTTTATAACGCGCCCCCTCCCGGGCTCTCGGGCCGCCTCCTCATCGGCTCTTCCCGTCCGGCCCCCTCGCCCGGCCGCCCCGGGCCCGGGCCCGGCCAGGGAGCCCCCAGGCCGCGGCTCGGGGGCCGCCCCCCCGCCCCGCTCCCAGCGCAGCCTGGCGGAGGCGGTGCCGTCGGAGGAGGAGGAGCAGGGCACTGCGGCTGGCCCCGGATCGGGCGCCAGAGCGGCAGCGGCTTCGGCAGCGGCGGCGGCCCGAGCCAATGCAGCGGGACGGACCACCCCGAGCCCCAGCCCCGGCGCCCCGGCTCCCCGCGCCCCCGATCGGGGGCGCCGCCAGCAGTGGCGGCGGCGGAGGCGGGGGCAGCGGCGGTGGCGGAGGCGCCTCTGCAGCTCCGGCTCCTCCTGGCCTCTCGGGAACTACAAGTCCCAGGGGGCCTGGCGGCGGGCGGCGGGCGGAAGAGGTGGGGTCGGCGCCGCGAGGCCGGAAGTGGACGTGGAGGCGGAAGTGGCGCGGCCGCGGAGGGGCCTGGAGCACGGCGGCGGGACCCGGAGCGGGAGCAGCGACGGCGGCGGCGGCTGGAGGTGGCGGCGGCGCACTGGAGGCGGCCATGGCAAAGCAGTACGACTCGGTGGAATGCCCCTTTTGTGATGAGGTGTCCAAATATGAGAAGCTCGCTAAAATCGGCCAAGGCACCTTCGGGTAAGGCTTGGCCCCCAGGGACCGGGAGCCCTAAGCCTGCACCCCTCCGGGCAGACGTTGGGACGCCCAGGCCCGGGCCCAGTTGGTGGGGAAGCCATTTAGTCACAGACTTGTCCCGTGGTCTCGCTAGGCCGCGCCGCAGCCCGCCCGGGCCTGACAGAACTGGCTGGCGGGGAGGAGCTTGAGGCCCTTGATGGGGGGCAGGGAGGGGTTGCAGAGAGGAGCATGTGAGTGGAACGGTATCTCTCCGTGAGACTCCCGGGTGAGGAGAAGGGGCAGAGGGAAGGAGGTAGAGGCTCGGAGAGGGACCGAAGACACCGCGTGGTGGGGTAGCCGAGTGCCCTGGGTACCCGGCCCAGCCCCGCCCGGATTCCCTTTCCTGTTCTCCTCTGGTGGGGGAGGGGCGGGCCCTGCGGAAATGGCCTGAAGAGTCCTCTTGGGTCCCCCTCTCGGCCTGCAGGGAGGTGTTTAAGGCAAAGCATCGCAAGACCGGCCAAAAAGTGGCTCTGAAGAAGGTACTGATGGAGAATGAGAAGGAGGGGGTGAGTACGGGTGAGGTGGGCAGGTCGGCCAGCTCCCTTGGGCGTGAGGTTGGGTTTCCACCCTGCTGCTTCTGGGACTCTCACGTATAGGTTCAGTTTACGTGTTTGGAAATTTCCATATTCCAGGGAATTTGACTTCCAAGTTAAATCTTTTAATTCAAATGTTTTAAAGGCGCTTCATAGTTCATTCATAGGTGAATATGGTTGGTGGCAGGAGGGGGAGCCCATGCTTGCACGGAGTGCACCTTGGTTCTTGAAGTTAGGAAGGCTTTGAGCACTTTTTCTTTAGGGTTTAATTTTGTTGAATGTAAAATAATAATAAGTTATATGCAATGACTTTAAAAGGGTGACTGGTATTCATTTGAAAAACAACAGTGCCTTCCACCCCCCACCCCATCTTAGCTCTGGTCCAGCTTTCAAGAGACTTGCTTCTTTATTTTTGTATTTGTTAACCATCTCACAGTTAAGCACAGGCATAGAGCTAAAACTTATAAGGTTGAAGAAACTTACAAGGTTGGAGCATTTAGTAACTAGTAATAGAGCATTTGTGTGAAGTATCGCTATTTCAATTCGTTGTCTGAAACCAGCTCCTTGAGGGATGCATACTATTACACCCATTTTACAAATGTGGCATTTGAGACAGCTAATTTCAGAGCCTACGCTCTTACTCTGTCTCCCAACCTTTGACCCTTCCTGTGGACTCCCTGGCCAGTTCCTTGGTTTGTGGTGCGCTCACCCACTTCTGACCTTCTCCTGTCTTTTTCCCACCCAGTTCCCCATTACAGCCTTGCGGGAAATCAAGATCCTCCAGCTTCTAAAACACGAGAATGTGGTCAACTTGATTGAGATCTGTCGAACCAAAGGTAAGTTGTTCGGATCTCATCCCCATTTTCAGATGGAGGAAATGAGGCTTATTGCTTAAGGTTTTGTTTGCAAAAGTTGGAACTGGACATACTTACATTGCCTCTTCTTAACCCAGACCTACCAAGTGTGACTGCTTTCTGTGGCCCTTTCATCAGAGCAGGTGCCTCCTCGGGGCCTGCCGCAGTACCCAGTCCAGAGAAGGTGCTCAGAAAATATTTTACCGTGAAGGAATTCGCACCTGGATATCCAGGGGTCCATAGGTTGGAGAGGGTAGGAGCTGCTTGTGGGAAAGTGAGTTGCATATGAGATTTTTGATTTTTTTCTTGTCCCTCTCTGTCCCCCTCATTCTTCCGGTCTCAGCTTCCCCCTATAACCGCTGCAAAGGCAGTATATACCTGGTGTTTGACTTCTGCGAGCATGACCTTGCCGGGCTGCTGAGCAACGTCTTAGTCAAGTTCACACTGTCTGAGATCAAGAGGGTCATGCAGATGTTGCTCAATGGTCTCTACTACATCCACAGGAACAAGGTGGGGGCCAGAGTAGGGGAGGAGAGACCAAGGCTTGGGTTGGCCTTTGCTCTCACTGTGGGGTGGGTGTGGCTAAAGGACCCTCGGGAACCCTCGCCTTTGTGCTTCCTGCAGATCCTGCACAGGGATATGAAGGCGGCTAATGTGCTCATCACCCGCGATGGAGTTCTGAAGCTGGCAGACTTTGGGCTGGCCCGGGCCTTCAGCCTGGCCAAGAACAGCCAGCCCAACCGCTACACCAACCGTGTGGTGACGCTCTGGTACCGGCCCCCGGAGCTGTTGCTCGGTGAGGACTCTCCCGAGCTGGCAGAGGGAAGCAGGGGCTGGGCACTTACCCGGCCTCAGCCCCCCGCTGCCAGGGCTTCTTGAGCCCCCGACCCGGGGGCATTGCCTCTCAGGAGGCTGTCGGGCTCAAGGGGCCCTCCTGGTGTGCTCTTCTTCTCAGGGGAGCGGGACTACGGCCCCCCCATTGACCTGTGGGGCGCTGGGTGCATCATGGCAGAGATGTGGACCCGCAGCCCTATCATGCAGGGCAACACAGAGCAGCACCAGCTTGCCCTCATCAGCCAGCTCTGTGGCTCCATCACTCCTGAGGTACGGAGTCGGGCTGCAGACAAGTCTCCCTGGCAGGGGAGGGGTGGGTGCTGGATAGAGGAAAAGCTCTATTCTGGAGAGGTTGCTGGTGGTTGGTTGGGGTCTGCTGTTTAGAGCCACACAGACTGTTCAAGTCTCGGCTGCATCCCTTTAGTTCTGTGGCTTTGGGGAGAGCGTCTGAGCCCCTCACTTGAGAGCTGAGCTGCTCTGCTGTGAGACAACTGTGGTTCTATCAGGCTTGGTGCATATACGCCAGACAACTCGTGTCAAAGAGCCCGGTACTTGGCGTTTGCCAACTATGTTGTTCCTGCTGCTTTCACCTTGGAGGGGTCAAGTTTGCCTTCCAGGGGCGGTCTGGGAGCTTCTGAACGGAGAGCGTTTAGTCCCTTCAAGTGCTTGACCGGTGGACCAGCCTCGCACCCCCTGAACTGACTACATCCTCTTTTCCATGCCTCCCACCCCAGGTGTGGCCAAATGTGGACAAGTACGAGCTGTTTGAGAAACTGGACCTGGTCAAGGGCCAGAAGCGGAAGGTGAAGGACAGGCTGAAGGCCTATGTGCGTGACCCCTACGCACTGGACCTCATCGACAAGTTGCTGGTGCTGGATCCCGCCCAGCGCATCGACAGTGATGACGCCCTGAACCACGACTTCTTCTGGTCCGACCCCATGCCCTCGGACCTCAAGGGCATGCTCTCCACCCACCTGACGTCCATGTTTGAGTACCTAGCACCACCGCGCCGGAAGGGCAGCCAGATCACCCAGCAGTCCACCAACCAGAGCCGCAATCCCGCCGCCACCAACCAGACGGAGTTTGAACGCGTCTTCTGAGGGCCGGCCGCTGCTGCTTCTCATTAGGGCCGTTGTTTTATTTTTCCTTCTGCTCTGTGACTTGTGTTGTGGAGATTTGGGGGCATTTGAGTTTTTTCTCTAGTGCATATTTTATTTAATCCCCACCCTGGGCATCAGGAACCAGCCGAGCAGACTGGAGCAGAGCTTTGGCTGAGAGTCCGGGAAGGCACTTGGGCTGCCTCACTTCGTTCCCTGGCTTTTGGGGTGATGCCCAGAGGGTCTCCATTTACCTTAGGACAGGAGTGAGATGGGAGGAAAGGCGCACCCCACCGGTGACTTTCTAAGAGATCCCAGCATGCTGGGAGGAGGGGACAGGTCCCTCACCCATCCCCAGCCCTTCTCACGGGATGAGAAGCTGGCGTGGGGGACAGAACCAGCCTTGGGAATGGGCTGCTCTTGGCCTAACCCTCAGAAGCTCTGGGGCTGGCAGAAACTCTTGGTTTCTTCAATAGGACAATTTTATCGTGTTTGTTCAGTTGTTCAGAGACATTCCTGGATGCAGATTGGTCAGTAACAATTAAAGTTGACTCTTTTTCAGTAAATGACTGTGTGTTCTGTGCTATGTTCAGACCCCCAGCTCTTAACCCTGTAGCTGACCTTTGAGATTTGATCTGTCAAGTCTTGGTTCTTTTCTTTGACCCAGTTCATGTCCCGTGACGTACCTTCAGAGGACTTTGTCTTCTCTGTTTTTCTCTTGAGTACCTACCTTCCAGAACATTTGCCTTCATGCTCCCCGCCGGGCAGGTACCATGATGCTCCCTTGCTCCTCCTCTCCACTCAGTGTCCGAGGAAGCGGGGAGACATGAGAAATGGGGCTCAGTCTGCTGATGAGGGAACTGGAGGTGGCCTGCTGTGAGCTACATCTGCAGCGGTGACCGGGGTGGGGGGGGCGTGGGGGTGGAGGCACAGTCCGCTGTGGCTGACACACGTTCAGACTTGACTCACGAGCACGGGAGGCTGCGGAGGCTCCTACTCAGTGGAATGACAATAGTCAAATCTGTAACTTGCAAAACTTCTCAGGCTGCTGAACAGAGGGTGCAAGAGAGGAAATAACCAGAGAAGCTGAAGGATCCCCAGGGGCTTGGGGAGGTGGCAGTAGCCTGGATTAGGGTGGCAGGTGGGCAGGAGGACAGAATAGTTAGTGGAAGATTGGATCGTGAGGGTTCAGAGCTGGGACCCTTGGAGGAGCAGCACATTCTGGGGGATACATTTCCTGCGAGTCTGAGGTTGGGGACAGCCACGCATGAGGCAAATTCTACATTCTGTCGGGTGGGAGTCCTCTTAGAGGGACCTGGGAAGGAACGTTGGCAAAACCTTTTACCACAACTCTCCTTTGCTTGTAGGTATTAACTTAGACCACAGCTTCACAAAAGGCCAGTGAAAGTAAGAAAAAAAATCTTGACTAGTATTTGTTTCTTGGGGCTGCCAAACATGGTGGCTTAAAATAACAAACTTATTTTCTCAGATCTGGAGGTGAATTTCTGAAATCTGTAGGTGTCATCGGCAGGGTTGTTTCCTTCTGGAGGCTCTGAAGGAGAATCTATTCTAGCCCCAAGCCTAGGAAGCCTTCAGAGTACTCCACAGAGGGGGACACAATCATGATTTTTAAAAACTCACGGTGGGAAACAGTATGGAGATTCCTCAAAACTAAAAATAGAACTACCATATGATCCAGCAATCCCACTCCTGGGCATATATCCAGACAAAACTATAATTCAAAAAGATATATGCACCCCTATGTTCATAGCAGCACTATTCACAATAGCCAAGACACGGAAACAATCTAAATGTCCATCAACAGATGAATGGATAAAGATGTACGTATCTACAGTGGAATACTACTCAGCCATAAAAAAACGAAATGCCATCTGCAGCAACATGGGTGCAACTAGAGGTTATCATACTACGTGAAGTAAGTCAGGAAGAGAAAGACAAGTGCATATGTTATCACTTACATGTAGAACCTAAAAGAAGACACAAATGAACCTATCTATGAAACAAAAAGAATCAGGGACGTAGAGAATAGACTGGTGGTTGCCAAGTGGGCAGGGGTGGGAGAGGGTTGCATTGGGAGTTTGGGATTAGCAGATGCAAACTAGTATATACAGAATGGGTAGACAACAAGGTCCTACTGTATAGCACAGAGAACTATATTCAATACCCTGTGATCAACCATAATGGAAAAGAATATGGAAAAGAATATATACATATATATATACACACACATATATATATAACTGAGCCACTTTGCTGTACAACAGTAATTAATACAGCATTGTGATTCAACTATACTTCAATAAAAAATAAATTTAAAAAAATACCAATAAAAAATGAAAAAACTCACAGTGACTATGTTGAGAAAAACTAAGGAGGTAAAGATGGAAGCAGGGAGATTGGTTAGGGCTATTGTAATAATCTGGGCAGAAGATGATGGTGGCCTGGACCAAGCTGGTCATGAAGCTGGTGGTGAGGAGTGCTTGGATGTATAGGTTACTGTGAGGGCAAATCATTCAGATTGGATGTGAGCTTGAATGAATGAGGAGTTGAGAGTCCTAGGCTTTGGCTGGAAGGAGGACGGAGCTACCATCCTTGAGACAGAGAAGGCTGCAGCTGGTCAGGCTGGATTGTGGTTTTTGGGCAGTTTTTGTTTTTCTTTTGGCCACGCCACATGCATGTGGGATCTTAGTTCCCCGACCAGGGACCAGGGATCGAACCTGTGCCCCCTGCAGTGGAAGGCAGAGTCAACCACTGGACCACCAGGGAAGTCCCTGGAGCACGGTTTTTCAATGGTAAATGGGAGGTTGACAGATGGACATCCAGGTTGAGTTGGCAGGTATATACCTGAACTATATATATAATTCAGAGCCCCCCAGAGTCTAAACACACCTTTGGGAGTTGCCAGCCTGGTGGTTTTTAAAGTCCCAACACAGGATGAGATCACGTGGGAAGAGCGGAGTAGGGAGACGTGGTCCACTGGGACACTCCAGTGTTCAATGTCGTCAGGGAGTTGAGGACAACAGATGAAGTAAGAGACCACTGAGGGAATTCCCTGGCGGTCCAGTGTTTGGGACTCCTCACTTTCACTACCGGGGCCCCGGGTTCAATACCTGGTCAGGGAACTAAGATCCCACAAGCTGCACGGCATGGCCAAAAAAAAAAAAAAAGAGAGAGAGAGACCATAGGAAGAGTGAGTTCCAGAAGCTAAGGGACAGAGGGTGTTTTTGAGACATGGTAGTGATCACCTAGACAAGTGCTTTCGATGGGCCAGGAAGATGCGGGTGAAGACTGACCGTCAGGCTTAGCCACACTGACCTCAGTGATGACTTTGGCAAGAGCCGTTGGGTGGATTGCTTTGGATGAAGCCCTGCCGAGAGGAGTAGGCTCACTGGAGAACAGGAGGAAGGGGACCAAAGACAAGAAGTAGCAGTAATCTACGGTAAAGGAGGGTTAGGGAAGGAGCTGGTCTTGTATATTCTAAGACGGGAGCCAGCACGTCATGGAATGACCCACTAGAGAGGGCACGTGTTGATTCTTGTCCTGTACACAGAAGAGCCACGTGGCCCAGTGTACAGTGGCCACACCAGGACTAGAACCTGAAAGGCCATGCTCCAACCCTGTTCTCTGCTACCTCCACCCAGTGTGTCCATGATGTTCAGGGCAGCCTTGCTTGTGGAAAAGGTGGAAAAGCATAAACCTCCACCAGCTTCAATAAGTTAGAGCGTGCAGAGTCACTGCACATCCGACCCCTGACTCACAGGTCTGGGTGGGGCACCTCTAACAAGCTGATGGGCGATGCTGCCTTGCTGGCCAGGATCTGGGCGGCACAGGTAGAGCACGGCCCTGTGATGGGATGCTGGGCTGCCACGTGAAAGGACGAAGTATATACACTATGACAGAAAGACGTTCCAAAGACAACAGGTGGATTGGGACTTCCCTGGTGGTCCAGTGGCTAAGACTCCACGCTCCCGATTCAGGGGATCCGGGTTCCATCCCTAGTCAGGGAACTAGATCCCACACGCAGCAACTAAAGATCCTGCGTACCACAACTAAGACTTGGCACAGCCAAATAAATAAAATAAATATTAAAACAATAACAATAACACAAAGACAACAGATGGAAAGAGCAGGTTACAAAATATCTCCTGCTTCTGCAGGAGTGTGATGGAAGCAATCACACTGAAACGTTACCCATGGTTATTTGGGGTGGTTCTGTCCTTTATGCTTCTCTGTGTTTTCTTATATTTCCTGAATTAATATTTTTACTCATGCAATTAAACTGTATTTTAAAACGACCAAAACAGGCCCTAAACCCTGGAGCTTCTGGCTCTGAGCTCTCCCCAACCCCCCATCTCCCCATAGAACACCCCAGAGAGGAGGCTGGGACTAGCCGGGTAGGTGTGGGTATGACCCCTTCAGCCTTGCACCCTGGGGTGATGTGGTGTCATCCCCATCTGTGGAGGGAGGTGCGGAGCCAGGAATAAATGCTCCCAGAGGGCAGGGCCTTGTGGAGGCATCACCCGGAGGCAGCCTGGCACCTGGGAGTCTCCCAAGTGCAGGAGTGAGTCAGCTAGCGGTCACACAGATGGAAATGGGAACGGCCTTTGCCAGCTCGTCTGGACAGGCCCTCGATGTCACCCTGCAGGCCGAGGACTGGGTCTGTGTCCTGGCATCTTTTTGATCAAATGATTTGGTGACACAGCCCTCACCCTGGCAGGCTTGGACGCCTTAGGTCAAGGGCACCCCGTGTCCTATCCCCCCTCCCCAGGGATCCCAGCTCGGCAGGGCCAGGGAAATGGCCATAACGGTAAGGAGAGGTAAGGAGAGGGGTGGGCTGTGATAAGAGAGGCCAGATAAAGCCAGCCCCACTGGGCAGGAAGCCCAGCCCCAAGGTCCGGAAGTCTCCCAAGTGCCCCCTCCCTACACACCCCGTTCTGCCTGCTCACCTTTAACCTCTGCGGGTTGTTATTTAACTCACAGGGAGGTCCTGACTAGTCCTGCGCTCAGAAAACAGCCAGGGAGGCCGAGAGATCCCTGGGCTGATCCCGGGATGAGAGCAGAGACCTATCAGGGAAGACCTGCCTCCCAGCACACTCCCCACCCCCCTCACCCAACATCAGGGTGGGAGAAGGCTACGAGGTCTTAGGAATCCCCCCGACTTCCCCATCCCCTCTCTGGCCCAGCCCAGGGCAGGCTTGGCAGGCGTACCCACACCTATGAGTCACTTCGTGCCCCAGCCGGTCATGGAGCAGGAAGCCCAGGGATGAGAGGTGCCAGGTCCCTGGCTACCTCCTGGCCAGCGGCTGAGAAGCTCTGGTGGGAAGCACCCATGGAGTGGCTGGGCCCATGCGGGGGTCCTCTCTCAGCTAAAGCTGCCTCCTTCCAGGTAGGAGAACACGGTGACCTTGGACAGGGGGCCTGCCTCTCTAAACTCTTCCTTTGTACAAAGGGTGTAAATAGCCCCCAGGGATCCAAGGCCATTAGTGATGATAGTAACCCCACACTTTGCGGGGCCCCAAGGGAAAAATCTTGTCATCATAAGCCT